GTTATCTCGTCATTTTAAGCCGCGTGACGAAACTTTTCACGAGTTCGTCTATCCAATTTTGCTCGTAAAAGTTGAGCAATGTACTTGAGCATTCATATTTTCATTCTTACAAGTGGCTATAGTTTCTCTTTCAATAGTTTGATATAAATTTGATGATTTAAACCTAAGTCTGTTGTAAAAGATTTGTAAAAAAAACTCTTTCTGGCACAGTTAGTTTTAACTGGTCATTTTGTTCAGTGTTTCAAGGAAAAATTGAACTTTAGTGTGTCAGAAAGGATGAGTTTAAGCACAAAGTACACTTCAAAGAACGCGTCTACTTTGAGCCAAGCTTAAACAAAAAGAATACATCGATTTAAAGTTATCGGAGATTTGATACACCTCCCGCCCCTTTTCCCATTGGCAATCTTTGACCTCAAATTTCTTGGTGTTGGGCTGTAAAATTTAAATATTCTTGAGATCATTGGATGCGCCTTTCTCTGTCGATTAGTACAAAAACTATTTAAGTTTTAAAGTCGGATATTTGATACACCCCATTTGCTATTAGAAATCTAACTTTGAGCTCAAATATCTTAGTGTTCGGGTGTTCAATTTAAATCTTTTTGGTATCATTAGATGCTCCAAGTCTTTCTCCGCGTTTTCAATTGGTACAAAAGCTTTTTCAATCGGACAGCCCAACACCGAGATATTTGAGCGCAAAGTTGGATTGACAATGAGAAATGGGACGGGGCACGTATCAGAAGTCCCACAATGGTGAGCAGTCAAGTCCTGGTCTAGCATGATCTAAGCAAAAAGTAAGTGGCCCAGGAATTTATAGAATTTAGAAACCAGGCCCAGACCCGGTTGGTCCATCCTTATTCATTGCATTGACTAGATTTTGAATGCTTATTGGACATTTGATCTTGCCCCATTCCTTTGCCACTGGCAATCCAACTTTGAGCTCAAATCTCTTGGTGTTAGGCTGACCGATTTAAATATTCTTGATATCACTGGATGCGCCAAGTCTTTCTCTGTCAATTGGTATAAAAACTATTTAAATTCAACAGCCGAACACCAAGTGATTTGAGCTCAAAGTTCGATTGTCAATGGCAAATATCCCACAATCTTGTTTTAAGGCAAGCTTTTTTAAACCCTAGCTTAAAATAGACTTAAACAAGTTGACAGTTTTACTAATTCTTGCGCCTTTTCTCCAAATTTCTAAGATCAAGTTCAATTCTCTTGCTAAAGATTGAGTTATTTGCAGTGGGGAATCATGGGGGGTTGGATGATAATTAAATGAATATTCAATCATAAAGCGATTTTCAGCAAGAAATCGCATAATTTCGAGGAGTTGGGTCAAGGTGACGAACAATGTTCCTCAATTTATTTTGATTTTTCATTAACTCCATTTCCCTCCACTTTCTGAATCACAGTGTTGGTAAATTATTTAAATTCGATTCAAAGTTTCGCGTTCGCTGAAATGTTTCTCCATTTAATGACTCAATTTAACAATTCACTAGAAACAATTCACATCATTTCTAGATTCATTTCTAGATGAAATCCCGTGTTTTGATTCATTTTCGCAAAACGAGTCGACTTGTTTTTCCTCGTTTTTGCTTTTGCGTTGAGAGAAACCATAGCAGAGCAAGACTTTCAATAAAATGAAACCCCAAATGAATTTCAGAGATTAGAAAATTAAGAGTGGCATTTCAGGGGATCAGGTGAATTTTGGCTGAGAATGAAAAATACTCGGCTACAAACACTTCTATCTAGATCGTGTTTTCGAAAAGAAAACACGTTTTTCTGTTTTCTCAGCCAGAAAACCCACCGTAACCCTGACGTTTTTGACCTATCTATTTTTTCCATTATTGAGTGCATTTTGGGTTAAAATCAGTATTTGGATATAAGTTTATTCCAAAAGCATTTTTTGCGACAAAGCCAGAGTTAGACCAGAAGTTAGCTAGAAGACCTAGCTTCTGACTTTCTAATTTTTTTGCAAATCTGGTCCACAGAAAGTACCGAATCTAGAACTGGTTTTTGAGCTGATTTTAGAAATCAGCTCAGAAATAAGCTGATTTTAGCTTCTGGTCTTGGTTTAGCCGTTTCTAATCTGCCTAATCGATTAGAACATCCCTAGTTGGAAGTCAGTGATCCGCTTGTGGCTCATTCAAAACATGAACCAGCAATCTTTTGCTTACGAAGCACTGATAATGACACTGATAATAACATTCTTGTTTTAATATCACTTGGCCTAAGAATAGCCTCCTACTAAACTCCCACAGAGTGCTGACGTTTTTAAATCCTTTTCGAAGCCCACACAACAGGTGTTTTCGAAAGTTCGAAGTGTGCATTTTAGTTTTTTCTTTTTGAATTTCTATTTTTGAATTAAGAAGTTCATCCCTGCAACTACCGCATTTCAAATCTTATTACCTATTTCATTTTTCAGTTTTCAAAATGCGCAATTCTTTAACTCAATTCCTTCATCTCACTTTCTACGTCAATCTTTTCGGATCAATAGTTTCATTGACTGAATATCTTTTAATTCTAATTCATTCCCTATTTGGCTGAAAATCCAGGCCCTCAAGTCTTTGATGGAATTCAATTTTCGGGAAAATCTTTTGTAACTCTCAGTGTGCTAAACGAATTTGAAACTAACCGATTTCTATAGCAATTTTCGGTTATTAGTGTGATTTTTTTGCAATTTCATGTCAAATTTAACCAGTTTTTATAGGAAAGTATAAGATATTTCTGTAAAATTGAGCGATTTTGCAGAATCTTGAATAATTTGAATGCCCACAATATTGTCTTTATTCACAATTGGTTTTCTGATCTTTCGTTTTCTGATTTCGCTTTCTGATGTGTGGTTTAGTTTCAAAGTCACTTGTCTGATCTTTCGTTTTCTGATTTCTAGTGTAATAGGCTTAAATTCGATTTGTTCTTTCGTGTAAACACTCCTCTTCTAACGCGCTATTTTGGAAGCTACCGTAATCTTGACTGGCGCGTGTCTTGTGTGTATTTTTGATACGTTTCTCTATTGATCTATTGATCTATTGCTCTATTTACCGTATTCTCTCTAATAGTACTGCACCCTGTGCGTCGCCTAAATTGCTCGAAATCTCGAAAAGCGCTTATCAGAACCTATCGATGTGGGGTCGGAAAATGTAGCTGACGATGAGATCTAGTGGGAGATTTGAGTATTGAGCTTCTGCAAAAGCTTGGAAGCCGTAAAATAGTCACCAACTCGGCTCTCCGAGGTGCACTACTATTAGAGAAAATACGGTAACTCTTTTCCAATAAGAACTGCCAGAATTTCGAAACGACTCCCCAGTTTCGAGAGAGTCCAATAGTCTCGAAACCTTTAAATTATCTGTAGCTGATATATTTTGTATATATTTTGGCATTCTTTGTGAATCCTACAGAATCAGTCCAGAAGCAAATGGACTAACTGAAAGCTGGAAAGATTACCGTAGTCGTCAAAAGATGTCATATTTTAGAAAACTCATCAAAAGGAACACACTTTAGAAAGACTAAAGATTGACTTGAAATCAGGAAGTCATTCAAAGTCATTCCCCCAAATTCTTCTTTGTTCATTCTCTTCCTCTTTTCAAGCCCACACCCAAAATTTGATTCCTTTTCACCTGGTGTTTAGAACCAAAAAAAACCCAACATTTGACGTGATTCAAAAGGTTAAGAAATAAGAAAATTACGATATTTTGAGTCCATGAAATCATTGGTTATCAAATTTTCGAAAAAGAAACATTTTAAACCATTTCGACTTGAAAAAGTTCTCAAATCTTTTTAAAAATCTTGTCTGATCCTTGTTTTTTTTCCTTTTTTCCGAATGATATCATTATTTACGATTTGCTGACTCCTTTTTGAGTGGGCTTTGTTCGGATTAGTTTTTTCTTTTTCGAAAAGTCATCGTTTACATTCCGATTTTATTACGGTACCTTTAAATTTGTTATATAAAACCGGAGATCAAAAATGTTTCTTGAGAATGTTTTTGAATTTCTGAATTAATTAAATAAACATATTTTTACAAATATTAGCCAAATATTAGACTGTTGACTTCACTTAATATTTAAATTGTCTTTAAGTTTCCATTGACACTGATTAATTGTACAATTTTGGTCAAAAGATAAAGCTTTAGTTTTGTTGGTTTAGTTTCAAAGTCACTTGTCTGATCTTTCGTTTTCTGATTTCTAGTGTAATAGGCTTAAATTAGATTTGTTCTTTCGTGTAAGCACTCCTCTTCTAATGGACTATTTTGGAAATTACCGTAATCTTGACTGGCGTAGATTTTTGATATGTTTCTCTATTGATCTATTTATATATTTTGGGATTCTTTGTGAATACCTGTAATCAGTCCCTACAGAATCAGTCCAGAAGCAAATGGACAGCACAAAGCTGTCCATTAAGCACAAAGCTCAAATAAATGACTTGATTCAATCTTCTAAAACAAACTCCATCAGTAAATTCTTCCTTTCTCCATCAGCAAAACATGATTATCTTTTGTTTTCCCTCAAGGAACAAATTTCTAAATATTCTGAGTCTTAAAATGGATCAACGTGAATATTTCATTGAAGTTTTCTCTTTTTTTGGGTTGAAGTCAAGAAAAGGAGTGGGTTGGGGAAATTGAAATTGAAGGGAAAAGTGGGATTTCAGGATGGATTTAGCAAAGAAATCTCAATTTATTTGCTCAAAGAAGCTTAGGATTTCGCTAGAAAAGCTGGGTGTGTGTCTGGGAAGTTTTCTTCACATTTTCTAGACTTTGTAATTTCTATATTTTAATGTATAATCTTCAAGCTTTGTTTCTTAGAATTTAAAATTTTAAAATACTGCAGAACTATCGGATCTTATTTAATTAAATTGGCTTCAACTTGGTGTTTTGATGATCTTCTTTTGTTAATATATTTAGCTACAGTATCCAATTACAATACAATTACAAATTACAATGAAGCTTTTCAGGTAATCCCCTATTGATCGTCATCTCGATCACTCGTTTCAATCTTTCACACAAAATAATGCGGACATTGCTCATCTCGTTCCTTCTTTTCTTGGCCTGTTCAGCTTTGAAAAAGGTTTGTTTAAAGGATTCTGAGATTTTTAATCTAGCCTAGTATTGTATTCTTCAGAAATCTCCAATCAAAATGTCAAGGCAAACAAAATTGCCGCCAGCAGTGATCGTGGTTGAAAAGCCGATATCGGTGAATAGTGAAATCCTGTAGAAATTCTCCCAAAACCTAACACTTTTAAAATCAACTGTGTTTTAGTGTCATTCTTGAAGTGAAACCCTTTACAAAACCCTTCCAAAACCCAAGATTTCTAAAAAATTAACAAATCTGTGCTCAAAAATGTAAACACACCATTTCTAGTGGACTTAAATCTTTAATTCTCTTGCCATGCCGGATTTAGTGCGCTAGAAAAGGTGTTTTTTTGTTTTGAAATTAAAATTACATCTCTTGTTACTAATAGAAGCCTTATAGAATTTAAAGTTCAACTCTAAACTTAATCATTTTCTTTCAGCGGACACCCACTGATTGTGATGCAAAGTGTCCAGGTGGACGAATGACATTAGCGTGTTGTGAATGCATTGGATGTCATCAAGGTGATAGAATAAAAGTCTTATACCGTATCCTACTAGTAAACAGTGTTATTTAACTGAATATCTTTATTAGGTATGCGATTCGGGAAACGCTCGGCCCCTCTATCTCTCTACGATGTCGCCTTCGAGGAGCCGATGCAGCCCATGTTTCGAGTAGTTGATATAGGTGAATACTCAAAAAAAGATTGCAAATACACTAAAAGCTATACTTACAGCCGAGATAAAAGCTATACTTACAGCCTTTAGGCTGTGATAGATACAGTACTGGACAATGAAATATCATATTTGAAAAAACGATCGTCACTTTGGCGCGTCTGTAACTCCCTTGTCTTTACCGTATTTCTAAATATTAATATTACCATTGTGTAGCCCTTGAAAAGAGCTTTCAGAAAATGTATAACACTAATAGTTTAATCTCAAAGATAAGGTAATTACAGACGCGCGAAAGTGATGATCGTTTTTTCAAATATGATATTTCATTGTCCAGTACTGTATATTCAAGTACTCCCAAATTCAACTAAAATTCGATCCCAAAAGCTTTGTAAATTCATTTTTCTTTAAAAGTTTATTCACTTCAATCAAAAACTTCAACTTAAAACTCTAATTTCCATTTTTTCTCGGAATAGAAATGATGTACGATAATTCTGTAATTTTTTGCCTAAATTTTAAACTTTTTGGTGACAGGTGAAAGAATTTTGTTGCCCTTTACAGTGGATGGGACAGGTGGAAATAGAAGGGCGATTTTAAAGGTGGAAAATGTTACGATACCGATTTCAGACTATCTAATAAATGGAAAAATGTTAGTAGAACAAAAATGGTAAATAAAAACATCGAAAACCTAGTAAAATCTGATTGTTGAGACCTTGTTAAATTGCTGAATCAAGGAGAAATTAGGATGAGAGCTCATAATCATGAGCTCTTGCCTTTGTTGCGTTGAGTGTTACTACCAGAATCTTCTTTTAAAACCTCATCCTGGATTTTTAAGATGGACCGATTCTTTATATTTATATACACTAAATTCAAAATATAGGCAGTTTTTTGAGCTGTTCAAAACACTAAACTTGAGGCCAGCTCGAGAGGTTCAAAAGATTATTGAGAGCAATGTAAAGCTGTTTTAGTACAGATCAAATTCTTGGCTTCGAAATAAATGGAAAAATGTTAGTAGAAAAAAAATGGTAAATAAAAACATAGAAAACCTAGTAAAACCTAAAACTTAAAACCTGATCCTGGATTTTTAAAATAAACAAATTCTTTAATTTACTCAATCCAAGATATAGTCAGTTTTTTTGAGCTGTTCAAAACACTTTTTGAGTAGCTTTAGGTCTTGAGGCCAGCTCGAGAGCTTTAGAAGATTATTAAGAGCAATGTAAAGCAGATTCAGTATAGAGAAAGTACAGATTGATACTTAGAAAGTACAGATTAAATTGCTGGCTTGATTAGTTGATTAGATCAAGTTTAGATTGGCTAAACAGCTTATGATATAATCGGTGAGCAAGACTAAATCGTATTAGGTATAGAATATTTGTTTAGAGAAATTATCTCTAAGCTTAACAACCGAATAAAGTAAAAAAATGAATGGCAAGGAATTCGGAAATGAGAGGAATTGAACCCTCAACCCAAGAGTTAGTCTTGCTCACCGATTATATCATAAGTTGTTTAGCCAATCTAAACTTGATCTAATCAACTAATCAAGCCAGCAATTTAATCTGTACTTTCTAAGTATCAATCTGTACTTTCTTACCGAACAGATGCTCTAGCACTGAGCTATCGGCGCTTTCTTCGACCAAGAAGAAATAGGAAATACAAGGAAGAAAAAGAAAGGAAGAAAGAAAGGAAGAAAGAAAGAGAGCCAAATTCAACCCAAGTTAGCTGCGTACTTGAAAAGGAAAAGAAAAGAATCAATGATAAAATAAAATAAATCTTTTAACATATGCAAATTTCAGACGAGAACGACGCTTTATTGATCCCCGTTCGACAGGAGAGAGCACGATGGGTAGCCTTGTAGATGGAGATAAAACGATGACAAAGTTAGAAGAACCCCAGACATTTTTGTATATCAGCTACCAAATATTTCGTAAACCTCAAATTCTTAAGTATTTCCTTTTCTGATCTCCCAAATTCTTCGATCTCTCTGAAAAGAACAAAAACGTGTCTTAGCCGCACCCCAATAACCCCCAAATAAGCTCATTGTTTCTTAAAAAACACAGCAAAAACTTTCAGAAATTTGTTTAAGCAAAATATTTGTGTTGTGCATAATTGTTTGACGAATAAACTGTTTTGTTTGTTTTTGAGAGATGTGAACTTTTTTTTTATGAAATAACAAATAACAAACAAATAATGTTGCCCGGACTTCATTCCTCGTTCTCATCTTCCACCACAAATGATGGGTTATTTAGACGAATATCCAAATCAAAATCAGAATCATCATCATCATCAGAAGCATCATCATTGTGCACAAATGGCTCATCATCTTTGTCATCCTTCCCACCAGGTCGTACATGACGGAATAAACAGTTTTTTCCACTGCGAGGACAACGAGTCCATTCTCATCGATCTAAATGCAAGCTGTTTTCTTAGATAACTTAATGTTATAAAAAGACTGGGTTTCCCTGTACCAGTACCAACTAGAGTGTGCTCCTTGTTGACAGACAATTTGTCAGACAAATTTGCCTTGACAACTTTTTTGTCAGACAATTGATCCGACAAACTTCCGACAATGCGTTTTCTAAATTCCGTCAATTCCTCCTCTCTCGACATTTTTGACTTATTCATTCTCTTTCAAGCGATCAATTTTATCAACTTTATCGTTTTCATGTCATTTTGGGATTGAATAAATGATGGTTGGAAGCATAAATCTTCTATTTAAAGTTTAAATTTAAGAAAAGCGTTTTTTTAAACTACTACAGAGATCAAACAACAAACGCTCACCCAAGGAAGGACGCTTGAGAGTAGTTCCTAAGTAAATATTCAGAAGTGAAAAAAAACTCGAACTCTCAAGTTTCCCGAAAAAGTTTGATGAGGAAGCTTTGAGTTATGGCAAGCATTTTTCAATGTTCTAATTTAATAGGCCTTCTCCTTTTTCATGGTTTATCAGTAAAGGGTGCGTGAAAAATTCTGTCCCCTCCTAAACGATCACTTTTACGATATTTTATGAACTTTTCAAGACTCAAAACCTAAAAAATTAGATTTTTCAAGTACTTTTACGCTAGATAATTGTTTGATAGCTTCGATTTTACTCATATAGAAAATTTTATAAAACTTTTTTTTAAAAGATTTGAGGTACCCTCTGGTCACGGGTCAAAATAGCTTTCCTAAACACTTTTTGAAATGACTATTTAGCCACCAAAATATTGTCCTGAGAACTTTTTGGCATTATTTACATCTGGCTAGGCATAGTTCCGTAAGAGATTTTGCTTCTATAATCCGAGTTTTTTCTGAAAAGAAGTGACCAAAATTACATGAGACCTCAACACTGCACAGTCTGCACAGTCAGTCATTTATAATAAAGTCAATCTCAAAGATTGGACAACTTATCAAAATCTAAAACACAAAAAAGCTAATGAAAGTAATACTAGAATTCTGCGAGTTGTGAATCACTCAAAAAGGTACTTTAAAAAATGCTTGTGCAAACAGAGTGCAACTCATTTAGAATCTTTCACCACTTGAAATGTTTCAAAATTCGAAAAAGTCGATGTATTCTCTTGTAAACTTTTCTATATTAATATTGCTGAATAATGTTTTTTGCGATAACACGACCAATGTAAACTTTCAGAAATTTGGAGCAAATGGTAGCTTATTCAAAGTTGGTTCTAATCAAATCCCATTTGCAGGAAATCACTCCCTATCTTTAAATCGAGCGAATCAACTCTATGAAGAAATCTTCACTAGTAGAAAATATCACAAAGATTTGGCTCCCTTGAATGGCTTCCAACAAACGAATGCATCAAGTTTGGGCAGTTTTCTACAAAAATCTTTGCAATATTTAGAAGAAGATCGCTTTCAAACTGTCATCAAAATGCAAATGTTGTACCTGGTGGATTTGGTTTGATAATTTAGCTGTTTTCCATTCAAATTTCAGTATGCCAGGATGTGGCTCATCAAATCTTGGACACCTATGTAGAATTGGAGATATCTTGGACCGATTGGAGATTAGCTTGGAATTCCTCTGAATACGATGGACTCGAAAAGATTTATTTGAATATCGACCAGTTATGGGCACCGGATACTTTTGCCACAAACAGGTTCTTTTACTTACAAGCTTTTTCTATTGCTAATAGCTTCTATTACTAACGCGAACAGGCTCTATTACTGCTTACATAGATATCAGATCGAAAAGATCCAAGTTTGGAAGGTTGGATAGCCATGCCTAATGATTACTATCAATTTGACCTTACTACCAGGTTTTATGCTTACTAGTTTACGTTAATAAAAGTATGCATACCGTATTTCTTCGAATAGAAGACCGGGTAAAGAGTATCATCGCGTACCCCTAGGTAGCAGCCCTTTTTAAAATTTCTTTTCTGCATAAAAGCTTTCAATGAAGTGCTATAGGGCTGGAAAATGACTCAAAAATACCACATGAGCTAACAGACTTTTGATGCTGAGAAATACTGATCAGAAGAAAAGAAAAAAATTCTCACTTTGACCTTTCCGATCTAATAGATTTCATTTGGTTCAGTCAACATTTTTTAAGACCCACTTTTTGTTCCAAAACATCGAGTTATTTATGTTACACCCTAAAATTAATCTAGTCTCACTGCCGAACAAGTCTACCCAGACCAATTCCGACAATGCCGACTATATTCAAATGGATCGGTTTACTATGAGATGTTCGTTCGATTTCAATCGTCCTGTCCAACAAATGTACGGATAACCAAATTTTATTGCTAATAACACTGCCAGGTTCAAAAGTTCCCCTTCGACACGCAGAACTGTTTTCTGTACTTCATGACGACTGCCTATGCTCCCTATGAAGTTTATCCCCGAGGAGAACTCTTTTCAAAATATCTCGACGTTGGACCAGCGGTAAGATTTCTATTACCTTAATATTTCTAAACTTTTTCAGGGCAATGGTGAATGGAGTATCGTGGATCTGATAGTCGAAATGACTGAGCATCAACTATATGAGGGAGCTTGTAATTACGTAAGAAACTCTGAATTCCGACAAAACAGTGCTTTAGATTGTATTCACTCTAAAGTTGAGACGTGAACCAAGTTTCTACATTTATGTGATCACTTTGCCATGCTTTTTGCTGACCTTTTTGTCAATTATTGGATGTTTCTGGACAACGAATTTAAGAGAAGAGCAACTAGCAAAGGCAAGAGAAGGCTAGCCAATCATGCTAATTTTGTTAGCTCATAAATATGCATCTGGATCTTGCTATTTACAAAGCTAGTTCTAGTTGAGCATTGCTTTGACGAGTATGATGTCGATGACCACATTCATTCAAATGGTCTCCGAGCAAATGCCGAAAACGCAGCGATTTCCACTATTGGGTAAGCTTCATACTCTTAACATTATTCACTTCCTTATCAGATAAATTTTTGATAACTATTAGTTTGAGTACAAAGTCTTGCACTCCTCATTTCATTATCGAAATGAACGAGTCTCAAACTAACAAATAAGATACGGTTTCTTTTATTGGATAGCCCAATCATTTCTCTTGCAAATGACTTTTGAAAGTTTATGAAAAGCTTTGTTTGGAAGGCTTTTCATTAACAAGAAGCCGAGTGTTCAAAAACGATCAGGTCCGATGAGGCGATTTGGTCCGTTTCTTCCAATGGCAAAGTTATCTCTCCAAGTGATCCAAGGAGAGATGATCCAAGATGGATCATCTCTCCAAGTGATCATCACAATTCAGCTTCTCTACGTCCTTGGCTTGGTTCGGGATTCACAAAGTAACAAAACAACAAAACTTGACAGGATGCCGCTCAACAATTTTTTAGGATTTTAAAATAATCTGCGAGAACAAAAACTAGTATTTTTAAATATATTGAAAAATGAGCACATAAAGAAAACCGCGAAACGGATTATTCTGGAATTTTGGTTGTAGACTGAACTTTTTGGTTCATTATCTTTTTTATTTTACCATCAAAACAGGTTTCATTGGAAGAAACGGACCAAATCGCCTCATCGGACCGGATCGTTTTTGAACACTCGGCTTCTTGTTAATGAAAAGCCTTCGAAACAAAGCTTTTCATAAACGTTCAAAAGCCATTTGCAAGAGAAGTGATTGGGCTATCCAATAAAAGAAACCGTATCTTATTTGGTAGTCTGAGACTCGTTCATTTCGATAATGAAATGAGGAGTTCTTCTTCTTCTCTATTGTACTTCTTCTAGTTGTAATTGTACTTCTAGAAGACTATTCCACTTCTTTAAACGGGGGACTTAGTACTCAACCTAATAACAAGGGATCAAAAACCTTTCTAGGCATCTTTGTGTTGATTTGCGTCTTTCTGATATCAGTCTCCTGTGTGATCCTGGTCGCTTTCCCCGACAAACGCACGAAAAGTGTCGAAAAGGACTCATCGGACTCATCGGATAGGAGGTTCGGCTTTTTACTAAAACTGCTCTACTATGTGTGACTGTGATCCTTTTCAGAACTATTCAACAGTCTATTCGCGATTTTGTTCTCTCTCGACATTTCGGTCTTTTCACTTTCTTCCAAATCATCAACGTGACCAATTTCATTGTTTTCCTATCATTTTGGGACTGAATAGAAATTTGGAAATAAACTAATAAACTCTTTTGTTTTTTTACTGAACCTAACCACTCATATTGCGTACCTCTGATCTTCATTTTTCCGTTTTTCCGTTTTCCGAAGTTGATTCAAACATCAAAATTATCGAGTTCCCATTGAACTTTGTCAAAAAGGTTATAAAAAAGGTGGAGAAAGACACCTCAAGTGCATACCACAAATACTGGCGACCAGTCCACTACGAGCTCCACTAGAGTTTCACAACTTTCAGAAAAAAAAAATTATGGTAGCTATTGAACTAATCTTTCTTGTAATCTTATTGCAAAGCTTTACTAGTGTGCGGATCAATTTTGAGTCATTTGGAGCTGGTGATCAGTATACAACAATACGAGAACAGTGCTCTTAAATTTTTCTTCTTCTCTATTGGACTTCTTCTAGTTGTAATTGTACTTCTAGAAGTCCATATCATTATGTGGAAAGCGCCAAAGGGCATTTTTTACAACATTCGATCTTTAAACATTCATATTCCAGACTATGGTAGTATATCTAACGTGTTTCAATGGCAAATCTAATAAGGAAAATACGATAAAACAACTTTTTGTACTATCGTTTCTTAAGAGCATAAAATTGGTAAAAAAGTAAGTGTCCATATAATTTTGTGGAGCAGTGTAGTTGTAATTGTACTTCTAGAGGACTATTCCACTTCTTTAAAGCGGGGAAAACATATCTATGAAGAAATATTTGGCACAAGAAGCTGACAAGGAACTGACTCGAGAGCTGACTTACAAGGAACTAAATGGCTTCTTATGAAGGACTTGACGTGATTTGGATGCCTTGTGATCAGTTATGGGCTCCTGACAACTTCAACACGAATCGGATGATTTTCTAAAGAACTTTCATTGTGAGCATTTAAAAATATTCACTTTCTAAACAAAGCACTTGTCTGTAGAGTTTGTTTCCTACAAGTAGCGCGTTTTCTAAAAGATGCGCGCAAAAAAAAGCACCGTAATCCAGATTTCTATGTAGCAGCGTTTACTTGCTTTTTTAGTGTACAGGGTGACCAAAATTATGGCAACCAGTTTTTGGAAAGGTATTCTTTTCCGAAAAAATTTTCTTGGGCAAAACACTTGGGGCATTAAGAATGGGTTGCTCGTGACCGAACGTAAGGGCATTTCAAAACGCCAACAAAGGCAGGTCAAGATAAGACTGATTATATTCTGTCCTAGTTTAGTCTGTGCAAATCTCGGGTCAGCCAACCGTCAGACCAAGAACCTGGCTTTTAGGCCTACAGGCTGACCTACTGGCTTCTGAAGCTACCCTGAAAACTCGTCACGATTGCTTTATAGGGTGATCCAAAATTATGGCAACCAGTTTTTGGAAAGGTTCTTTTCCGAAAATATTTTCTACAGAAGTAGCATGTATTATATACCATTTGAAAGCTCTAATTCTCAGCATCATTAATACAAAAAAGATTTTTTGACCAGAGCTAATTTTTGACCCTTACTGGGCTTCGGAATGAGCTCGCCCCAAACACCCCACGGCGATATGTCATTTTTCGTGGTTTTCTAAGCAAAAATTAGTTCGAGAAAAGCAGGAAATACGAGCAAATTTGTAGATATTTTATTAAAATTAATTAAATTCAATACTTTAAAACCTAAATGACAATCTAAAAGTGCCTCAATCAGCAGTCACATCGCTCGTTGGTCAAACTTTAAGAAAGCTCAACCTTTTTGGGTCAATTAGAACGCCGGGAAATTGGTCAAAAAAGCCTTGTCTCGTCGATTTTCTCTTTCCATTTTCCCGCAGTACAAAAACCAGAAATAGACCTTTTTGTGGGGTCTTCACGTCCAAAGACCCAGCTCGAGATTTGTGCTGAAGGCAATCACTTTTTGATGTCATATCTTGGCCCCGGTAAAAGTGGGTTCGAGGAACCCTATTTTACGTTTCAAAATGTTAAGGAAGATCAAAATTGACTGTAAAGAGCAAAATCCGCTTTGAATTTGCAAGAACTTGCTAAAGAATTTAATTAGCACCGTGATTTCTTCTCACCATTCAAATGACCATACTTTTATTAACAAGATTCTAGTCTGCATGTTTTCAAGCGGGGGTATAATAGTCAAATACAAATAAAGAAAATGAACTGAAAAAGCATTTCAAGAAGATTACTTTTAAAGAAAGGTTTTGAAAAATCAATGTTTAATTATTTTTTTGATTATTTTTTGATATTTTTTCAACTTTTCCCAAATTCATGATCCCGATTCGTCCGCGATATTAAATTTCTGAGCCACCATGGTCAACACCACCATGAGACTTTTGCCATAAAATTAGAACTTCGTACTGGCATCGTCGTGTCATATTAGAGTTAATAAATAGACTTTTATGGGCAAGCACTTCATTCATCTACACTATAACCTGGCACCGGAGTTTGAGAAATCGAGCTCAACCTATTTTTTTGGCATACGCTGTATGTGCCGCGGTCCCACCTGAGATTTTCACAATAAGAGATTTTCGACTCGCCTGTTTTGAAGGAGTGTCTCTTTTTCCAAGAAAACGCTGATCAATCATGTGCCTTATTGAAATTTGTAGTTATCCTCATACAGTACGTTGCAAAATGATAGGACCACCCTCGATTTTTGCGATTTTTGATTTTAAATAACTAAAAATTTCTTAAGAACCAAACCATCGATTCCTCTGAAATTTTTTACTCAAAAATTGAATAAACTTTGAGAATTTATTGCCAAAAAATCAGAACCAGCTTCTGGAATCATTTTGAAGATTTCACCGATTCTAGTGTCTCTTTTTGAGTGTTTGCCTTCAAATAAACTTTTTGTGGTCAAAATTTTAGAAATTGAACTAAACTTAAAAACAAATATTAACGTAAAAATGAATAAAAATTTCTAATGGAACCAAATTTTAACCGAAGCTTTAGTTTTCAAGAAAGTCCTATCATTTTGCAACGTACTGTAGGGTTTATTATGCACCACGATACCGATGAAAAGTTTTAATTTTGTGGCAAAAATTTCATGATGGCGGCAGCCATGGTGGCTTAGAAAATTCATGTACGAATTATGAAAGCCAGAAAAAGTGAAAAACTATCAAAAATTTGCCCACCCAAAATATTCATTTTGGCACTGGAGTTTGAAAAATCGAGCTCAACCGATTTTTTTGGCATTTGTATGTGCGCGGCCCCACCTGAGATTCTTCAACTTGTGCCCACTTCCTATCAAGAAGAAAGATGAGCTCTTCCTCTGTCCAGTACTACGGTACTTAACCTATATAAACTGAAGCGTAGGCCAAGTATTTCAAGTCATCCTGGTTTTAAAACGGTTTTTTGTTTTTCGTTGTGCGTGCCTGTTTTCATGGATAAGTGGTTTAAAGATTATACCCGAAATGAGATTTCCGCCACTTCTCATTTTTTTTCTGAATGAAGATTTCTTTTTTGCTACATATAATGACTTGTTCTTAAAGAAGTAGAGGCTATTTTTCACGACTCGTCGAGCGACTTTTTTGAACTTGAATTTCGATCTGTTTTAAGGCATAATTTTATTCATAAGTTCTTGAAGTTTCTCTTTTTCAGCTTCTCCTTTGCGATGCGGCTTTTTGAAGGCATCTTGCAGACGAAACGGGCGAAAGGATAAGAGATCCCGGTAGCTGCCGCCCATCCGTGGATATTACAAGACGGATCATTTGAAATCTGAATCGAATTGTGTTCAACATCGAAAGTCTAAGCTACTAACCATCCAGTAATAAGGTATGGTGGTCGCCGAAGCACAATAGTCGACTTGTGTCCCATCAGTCCATGTACCCGTTCCCAAAGTTCCATTTCCGTAATAGCCAATCCATGCATATTGATAGTCACACGTATAGTTGTTAGGAGCAGCGATTGTGAGGTTTTTCACATTTGAGGTAACAAGACCTGTAAGAATTTTGCGACTAAAGCAAAACATATCTATTTAATACTGTAGACAAAGTCATCCTCAGCTTTCGAATGAATCGACACTAAATGTGATCCCATTCGTTGACAATTGGCTTCGGCTGTTGTCCAATTGTATAATTGCCAGTGAACAGCATCAGGATAGTTGAAATTCTGAATGCAGCTGATATCATATCAGTTTTATTTTGATTGTTGGTAAGGGGAAAGAAAGTGTTCTTTACCTGTAAATAGTAGCAATAGTCGAAAGTCTCGTTATAAACCCAGCCATCAGGACACTGAAACTCTAAACCCTGCTCATTTTTTGTTTCATAGAATCTTTTAAAAAACCATCTCCGTTAATTGAACACAAGAACGGTCGAGCAAATGAGCACTCAGCTGACACCCATTTCCCCGATTGAGGATCCATTATAGCACAGAGAGTCGAGTTGCTTGCGTTGTTATCAGGTTCATCTAAACTCTAGGATAACGTTATCAAATTATTGGTGGCTTACTGAGGCCCCAGTTCTGATATGTCAACGGCGTTCCATCGGCATACGTCCAAATGTTGTTTTTCTTCCTCTCCACTCCAATGTACGGAGCCACTCCATTCAAATCTATTACAACGGCTAATCGAGTTTTTCAACATTTCTTCTACTCTGTGGAATTACTGCAAAGACATAGGCACCCTCGAAAACGTTGAGAATCTTTGCGGGAATCCCTCCCAAAGCTTCACAACGACGAACCACGTCGACGTAGAACTCGGCTGAAAACATAATAACGAAAGGAACACATATTCTCGAAACTTGAAAACATAATACTCTGAAAACCAAGGTTCGATCAGTTTTGACCATTCTACTAGCATTCAAAACACAACTTGAATAATCTTTTCAACCCACTTTCATTGCTCAGATACATGCACACATCCTCATTCGGTATTTGAAAGCTTCCAGGAGGGCATTTAAAAGAATCAGCATTCAAAATTAATAACCCAAAGATTAGTAGAAAATAGCCTTTCATCAGGCCTCGTACAATCGATGAAAAAATTTCCCAAACTGAAGTGAGAAGAAGTGAAAAAAATTGGATTACTCTTCTCCTTGAGCTCTTCTTATCACCAACTTTACGACCCTTCAAGTATCCTTCATAAATTCATTATCTTTTACAGAAAAAAGTGTGTTAAAAGTAAAAAGAGAAGGCGTAATCAAAGTCTTTTGAACAGGAAGAATTAATTCGAGTAAAATTGTTTTTATATAATTTATTCTTTTCTTCAAGAGTTAGTCTTCTGGATCTGTTTGTTAGTTTAAAACAGATACTCGGCTGCCGTAGCAAATAAGTGGTCTCACTTGAACTTGCCCAACCAAGAAGGAAGTTTGATAAATGAAGTTCAAATTGAAGTTTGATAACTGAACGTTTAAAAACCAAAGCTTTACAGAAGTTTTCAAAGAAAACACATCAAAGGACTATAACATAGACAAATGAATCTAGTGAATGAACCGACACCAAATGTTCGCCCATTTGTTGTCACCCTGTATGGTCATGGTCCAATGAATTATGAGCAATGTAACTAATACAGCTTTAACAATGCATTTTAACTTCCGACAAGGTCTCGGTATACTTAATTTAGATTCGAATACATTCGATTGTTCTTTTGCACAAACAATCTAGCCGTTTCTCGACTTTTGCTGAAAATGTATTTTTGAACCCGGAAACCATTATTGTCAATTTATAAATACTGTGTCCGATTGACCGCTTCGAAAATGCGCTTCGAACCGAATAGAAACGACAAATCTGGTTATTACAGTTTCGTACAAAAGTCTAGGGCCAGCGCCTCCCTCCACTTATTTAGCAAAAAAATAGCATTGCTCTCTAGGGCAAATAAAATAAGAAACTGGCGTTTTGGATAGCCGTTCATCTGGTTTTCAAGTCGCAAAGCAACAAAGTGCAAGAGTTCACCAAATTTTCGAAAAACGCATTTAAGTTGAGATACTTAAAAAAACACGGTACAAAAGTGTTGGGGCAAAATATGTAATTTATTATTTTCATGATTTTAATGCTTTTCTTTCATTTTCTTTGAATATTTTTATTTTTAGAAAGTCTTCACAGAGCTGTGAAATGTGGACGGCCACCAAACGCCCAAGGGAACTACCGATTGAGCTCGAATCTGACCTCAAGCCACGAGGTCAGAGTTGAAGTCGCTTTCTGGCAAGGATATTTCGCGATGGAGCATCAATAGGTCGTTGAATCGTGTTGGACTACTTGCCAGGAGACCGGCTAAGAAGCCGCTTACAGGTGCAAAACATCGGAAGCAGAGGTTGGCCTTTGCAAAGAGCTACGACGATTGGAACAGGGTCATTTTCACATTAATATGTACCATCCAGCCGGAAATTTCTTGATCAGGCGACCAAAAGGATAACGATACAACTCCAAATACAACAAGTGAAATTCGGTCCGGAAAGCATCATGTTATGGGGTAGGGAATTGTCTTTGCTTTCATTTGTAATTTTTTTAGCTTTCCAGTTGCAATGTCTCGAGATCTACCGGGTCAGCTTCTACTAATCAATGGAACTGCACAAAGCCCCTTCATATTCGCCGGATTTGAACGTAGCATTTCAACTTATAGACGTTTTTTGAAAATTTGATAATCCTATTCTTATTGGAGTCTGATAAATATCCTCGCGAAGACATTTTTTTGCTAAATAAGTGGAGGGAGGCGCTGGCCCAAAACCTTTGTACGAAACTGTAATAACCAGATCTATCGTTTCTATTCGGTTCGAAGCGGTCAATCGGGCACAGTATTTATAAATTAACAATAATGGTTTCCGGGTTCAAAAATACATTTTCAGCAAAAGTTCAGAAACGGCTAGATTGTTTGTGCAAAAGAACAATCAAATGTATTCGAATCTAAATTAAGTATACCGAGACGTTAAAATGCATTGTTAAAGCTGTATTATTGCTCATAATTCATTGGGTCATGAGCATACAGGGTGGCAACAAATGGGCGAACATTTGGTGTCGGTTCATTCACTAGATTCATTTGTCTATGTTATAGTCCTTTGATGTGTTTTCTTTGAAAACTTCTGTAAAGCTTTGGTTTTTAAACGTTCAGTTATCAAACTTCAATTTGAACTTCATTTATCAAACTTCCTTCTTGGTTGGGCAAGTTCAAGTGAGACCACTTATTTGCTACGGCAGCCGAGTATCTGTTTTAAACTAACAAACAGATCCAGAAGACTAACTCTTGAAGAAAAGAATAAATTATATAAAAACAATTTTACTCGAATTAATTCTTCCTGTTCAAAAGACTTTGATTACGCCGTCAATTTTGATCTTCCTTAACATTTTGAAACGTAAAATAGGGTTCCTCGAACCCACGTTTACCGCGGTCAAGATACTGACATCAAAAAATGATTGCATCTGGGTGTTTACGGTAATTTGTGCCAACTTTTGATCATCTCTTTTGACTTTTGAACTTTAGGAACATTCAGGGTCTTGAGACTTAATTGAATCTTGACACGGGTGGCATAAAATAGACCAAAATAAGGACTAATCCTTTCTAGTGGCTTGATCCATAGTACTCCATGGTTAGCTATTCTTTTTTATACTTGTTGTGACCAGAAAGTATTATGTGCGTCAGATAAAGCAATGGCTGGATTAAATCAAATGTGGCGTGTAGTTGAAAGCTCCCCAATTGAATGACTCGTTTATCGAGCCTCTCTCTCTCTGAAACTTGGGTAATTAAACCATAGCTGAAGAGAAGAGAAGAGAAATAATAAAAGGAGAGAACAATAACCAATACAGAATGATTTTACAGACTAACAATTTGAATGAGAATGAGAATGAGCAAAATGAGGAAATGAACTGCTTTACGGTTTACGCCGCTGCTTTTATGCCACGCATGACTGAATAATTTTTGCTTGCTTAAATATTTGTCTACGGTAGTTTGAGCTTTGTTTAAGATTGAGGTTATTCATTTGTATTAACAGTTGTCACAATACTTGAGAGATATGTACAAGAAAGCTTTACAAAAAGAAAAAGAAAGAGTATTTCATGTGTTAAAGTCTAAAGTAAAAAGTTATAGAGTATTTTCGAAAAGTGTTTAAGAAAGCAAAGGACCAGTCACGCTTTCAATTAGACTTATAAATGACTTTTTCCTCACACACTCAGTCTCTTAATGAATGGTTTATAAATTTTAGATGCTTGTCGCCAACACAATTGTTCTTGCTTTCGCTATATGCACGAATATGTACAGCAAGATGAGAGTTGTTGCCATCTTTGCCATGGTAAGCCCCAAAAATGCCAATCAAAAGGAGATTCTCTTTTCAGATCTCGACTTTCTTTTTGCTTATCGGAATCATCGTGATCATGCAAGAGTCAAGTCAAGGCAACCAGATTTCGGGAAGAATTTGGTCACATTGCCGGCCGTCGGCAATAGTTTCTCGGATATGATGCAAATGGTCGGCATTCTGATGTATACGTACGAGGGCCAGGCGATAGTTCGTTTTGGAAAACTCAGTCGAAACACCAGCTGAATTCAGATTTTGCCTATCGAGAACAAACTGGAGAAGCCCGAGCAAATGTTGGCCTTCCCGTTTGGTGTTGTCCCCATTACGATGGTCATCGCTGGCTTCTTCATCTGGATTATTGGACTCGTGGGGTAAGTCAATTCAAATAAATATTAAGTTTTGCAGGCATATGTAATAGTTTCACTCTTGATCATTGGCTTGCACAACCGGAAAATCTTGTTTTGATCAGCTTCGGTTAATGTCTTAGAAAGCCAAAAAGATGCCAAAGTATTAGTTTGCAAAATCCTGTTTTGAAAGAGGGGACGGGGAAATTGTCGTCAAGGGGTAGTTATGATTTGATAGTCACTAATATGTATTAAGGTCTAAATAACTAGGAAAGTGAGATACTCCGACAACAGCCTAGAAGCGGCAATCTTGATCATCAAGCCAATCCTTTGCAATCCGTAGAAATATGGATGATGAATTGTCACAACAATGAAACGCGTAATGGCAACTCCGGTAGCTGATAAACGGTCTTGATGAACGTTTTTTGATACTTTTATCGTTCTTCAAGTGTGCGGCAGATATCGTGTTGCACTTAGCGTTTGTATTGGGTTGAGGAGAATGAGTCGGCGCCGAAAATCAAAAAAATGTCTAAAACTTCTAGCAGAATTCGTCAAATAATATGCGTTTGATATCAGTAGAATGGTTAACTAATTCTCTACAAAATGACATTTAAAAGAAAATTCAAACAGCGCCTCCGCTCAAGAAAAAGCCATTTTTTCACAAAAACTACAAACTGTCATCTAGAAAAAAACCATTGGTGGGATCTTCCTGCAAATTTGGCAACTTAAGTAATTGAATGTGCTCTATCTTTTTATATAAACACCAAAGAAGGTTTATGTGAAAGAAACTGTTCAAATGATGAGTCGGACTCTTTGCCATTTTAACCAGCTGCGTTTGGAAGTTCATAAACTCCACGAAAGAAAAGCTTTGTGGAATCTCTCAAAAGTCATTTTGCAGAGAAATAGTGGATCCTTTTGATGAAACCAAACGTATGTTTAAAGAAGGCTTTGCTATGTGTGCAAAAAGTCCCTTTAAAGTTTGGCGCCGACTCATTCTCCCCAACCCAATAGTTTATACAGTGCGTTGCAAAATGATAGGACCACCCTCGATTCTTGCGATTTTTGATTTTTAAATAACTGAAAATGCAAAATGATGTTAAAATTCGAATTTTATATACAAAGTACGCCCAAATACCGTTTGTCAAATAATTTACTTTAAACGGCAAAATTTTTTAAGCATTTCTTTATTTTACACCTGTCGCAAAATGATAGGACCACTACGTTTCTTTTTGATTTTCTACCTGTAATAACCATGTTTTTTGCTTACTATTTGCTAATTTTTATTTTTCAG